GTGTGTGTGTATGTGTGTGTGTTTGTGTGTGTTATTGGTGTATTACGTATACATGTATTCACACACACACACACACACACAAGATTATAGAGATTATATGTGAGTGAAAGATTATTATTTTTATTTTATTTTTTGCTGTAGGTTGAGATAAAGGACATGTGAATGTTTTATATTTATATTACGGTTGTGTTATTTTATATATTTTGTCTTTGAATATCAATATGTATGTAAATAAATATAGCTGTGTCGATAAATGTGTATGTATGGTTGTGTATGGATTTGTATACACAGACCTAACTTCCTTTTTAACTTCTGTCTATCTATCTATCTACACACACACACACACACACACACACACACACACACACACACACACACACACACATATAACGAGACTTTCATAACTAGGGGATTAACAATTAGGTAAGATACACATCACCACAAACTTAGATGACTTTTCAATTCCAAAGTTTCTTGAGAGAAGTTATGGGGAAATATAAAATTGGATGGTAATTCAGAGTTTATCCAGACATTTTTTATGGGAAGGGGGAGAGGGAAGGATTGGGGGTTAAGGGGAAGGGTAGGGGTAATGGGGGAAGTAGGGGTTAAGGGGGAAGGGTAGGGGTAACGGGGAGGGATGGTAGGGGAGAGAAAAGGGTAGGGGAAAAGGAGGGTAGGAAAGGAGGAAGGGTCAGGGAGAATAGGCTGGGGAGATTAAGGGGAGGGAAGGAAGCTTGATTTTTAATTGGGGAGAAAAAAAAAAAACAGCAACTCATTTTCCAAAGCACTTGTCAAAAGGTCCTCAAAGTATTAATGTAGATAAATGTGTTGTTTACCATGTGGGAGAGCTGGTGGGTGGGTGGGTGGGTGGGTTGGTGGGTGGGTGGGTGAGCAAGTAGGCGGGTGGGTTTTGACTATTATTCCTGAAAGTCTGATGTTGAGTAGAATGTTTAAAAGCATTGGTTCTTGTAATTAAAACGTGAACCTAGTTTCCAAGGGTTCATACATGCAGATGGTTCGATATACGGTGGTTCATCTATACTGAACCATGAACAGTTTCCCAAAGAATGTATATCAAAAGAGCGAAGTATATATATATACTCAGTGTTTTGGGTAGATAACTAGGCCGAGTCCCGCCGTGTATACATCTTGGGTAAAGGTCACAGCTGGAGTTGTAGCTGGATTTGATTCACTGGGCTGTGTGTGTGGAGGGGAGGATGTTCTTTGATGCCGCCTGCTGTCTGTATCCTGGTGTGTGTGTGTTGTGTGTGTGTTATTACTGTATTTCGTGTTCTTGCACTTACACACACACACACACAAGTTTATGGAGAGAGATTATAACTGGATGTGTACCTGTGTTTCGTTGCAGGTTTTGGGTGTAGGTTAGGATAAATGGTGATGTGTATTAATTCATAAGCTCTTTCGCTATTAGGTGTATGTATGTATTTTACACGTATGGAAAAACATGATTTTATATCAACATATATGTATAATACACATACACATACATACAGACATACGTACACACACACATACAGACATGGATACACACACACACACACACACTCAAGCTATAACTTCCTGATGATAATTTCTTAAGACAAGATTTTAAGGCAAACAGTTTCTTAGTGGCGTTTTGGTTTACATATTTTAGAGTGGATTTGGAGGTAAACAATATTATCTTTTTTATAGGCAGACAATTAGTTCCTTGTTTGGAGAGTATTTTAAGGCAGACAATTATTTTTCATTGTTTTTCAGGGTCCTGTTGCAAGTTAACAGTCAGTTATAATACAAGTAACTACGGATAGCTCCAATCCACTTCTATTTAAAGGTAAGTGTATGATAATTACTTGTCAGGTACAGGTAACAAGGTAAATCGAATCATCATTTGCAGATTAGCAACCCCAGCTTATTTTATCTGATGATTAAACAGCTTAATGCCTTCCTTACCTAACCTGACTTAACATAACCTAACTTATCTATCCTAAATTAACCTAGTTTTAACCTAATCTAACCTATACTCACCCAGATAGCCTTAACGGGTTTAATTATCAGGTAATATAAGCTAGGGTGCCTAATTTTCAGGTGATTGGGTAACTTCATTGACGCATCACACTCTTAAGTTCTCGTCCTAAGGTTATATTGAATGGTTAGTAATATTTAGGTCAGGTGTGCCGAACAAAGGTAAAGTTAATTAGCTTTGGTTGGCTCCGTCAGTGGGTGGGTGAGTGAATGAGTGTGTGACGGAGTGGGTAGGTGGGTGAGTGAATGAGTGGGTGAGTGGGTGAGTGTGTGATGGAGTGGGTAGGTGGGTGAGTGATAAAGTCAAGTACAAGTTGATTCTTAGGTCATTTTACTCGTAATAGGTTCATAGTAATTGAGTTATAAAGGGTAGAACAGCCTATCACAGGGGGGAAAAAAGTCAAATTGCCTCCGCCAATGACAAAGTTGATTACAGTATAGTTTTATTAGTGCAGGTCATTATAGTTCACATTATTATCACAGGTAAAGGTCATTAACTTTAGTTCGTATAAAGTGCTCATTGACGATCTTGGGAGTTTCTTATTAATAAAATAAATTTGCCCCGTCAGTGAATAATTAAGTGGTCAAGTGAATTATAAGAGTTGTAGATGGATGAGAATAATATCAGATTTATTTTTTATTAATATTCCAAGTTGTTTTTTCTCTACAGTTGAGAGTATTAATATATTACCTGTGTTGTCAGTCAATCTGTATATACCTGTACCAATATTCAACACCCGTCTCGCTTCTCATCAATGACTAGAAAAATACTGACACGAATTACAGCTGTATATTGCATGGAGTCTGGCAATCATTAATACACGTCCAGAGTAATATTGGAAGCTGTCAGTAGAGTCTTTTTTATAATTAATTAGGGATTAATTAGATATGTTTTTATTAATTACCTGCTTACATGGATATTAATTTAATTATCTTATTTTTTATACTGAGTTTGTTATTAATACGAGGTTTTTTGTTGTAAATCGAGAGCTTTAGGTTAGTTTAGATTAGGCTAGATTAGATTAGATTGGGTTGGGTCAGATTAGGTTAAGTTAGGGGTTAGTTTTGGTTGGATGTGGATAAGTTAGGTTAGATTATATAAGGGTGCGTTCGATTAGAATAGATTAGGCTGCATTAGGTTAGGTTAGGTCAGGTTAAGTTACGTTTGGTTGGATGTGGTTAAATTAGGTTAGATTACAAAGTTGGGTCAGATTAGATTAGGTTAGATAAGGTTAGGTAAGGTTAGGATAGGTTAGATTAGATTAGATAAGGTTAGGTTAGGTTAGATTAGGTTAGATAAGGTTAGGTTAGGTTAGATTAGGTTAGGTTAGGTTAGGTTAGGTTAGGTTAGGTTAGATTAGGTTAGGTTAGATTAGGTTAGATTAGGTTGTGGGATATAGTAGTGTGTTTTAAATAACTCGTGACCCCCAAAACCAACTGGTAAATGCTATACAAATCTACCATACACCAGAGGCAAATGTTCCGTCAGGCTAGATTGTGGTAGTTGTCAGGTTAGATTGTGTGTCAGGTTAGATTGTGGTAGTTGTCAGGTTAGATTGTGGTAGTTGTCAGGTTAGATTGTGGTAGTTGTCAGGCTAGATTGTGGTAGTTGTCAGGCTAGATTGTGGTAGTTGTCAGGCTAGATTGTGGTAGTTGTCAGGTTAGATTGTGGTAGTTGTCAGGCTAGATTGTGGTAGTTGTCGGAAGCTGGGTGTGGTAGTTGTCCAGGCTAGATTGTGGTAGTTGTCCGGCTAGATTGTGGTAGTTGTCAGGCTAGATTGTGGTAGTTGTCAGGCTAGATTGTGGTAGTTGTCAGGCTAGATTGTGGTAGTTGTCCGGCTAGATTGTGGTAGTTGTCAGGATAGAAAAAATGGAAGGAGGTAGGGAAGGAGAGATGAAGGGAAGTAGGAAGGAATAAAGAAGGAGAAAGAAAGGTAAGGAAGGAGAGGTGAGGAGAGGTAGGGAAGGAGGATTTACTTTACATCCATAATAATATAGCCAATATCTTTATCTAAATATTGAAACACAGTAAAATAAAATATTATATTATATGGAGGTCAACATTTGTGTACAGGTGGCCGAAAAATACCTGACGCCTGACAATCAACGTTACCAGTATATACAATATGTGTGTGTGTGTGTGTGTGTGTGTGTGTGTGTGTGTGTGTGTGTGTGTGTGACTTCCTCCATTTTATATATATTTTTTATATGTGTTGTGTATGATGTGTGGTGTATGTTGTGGAAGGTGTATGATGTGTATGTTGTATAGTATGTATAATGTATTAACTGTAGTGTGTGTGTTGATGGTAGGGTGGGGAGTGGGTTCCTTAGGTGGTAATATTGTTTTATTGCTGTAATAATAATAATAATAATAATAATGATAATAATAATAATAATAATAATAATAATAATAATAATAATAATAATAATAATGATACTACTACTACTACTACTACTACTACTAACAGACATACAATACACTTATATAATTACACACATAGTTAATTAATCTGCCTGCCATTATTCCTGAGACGATTAACAAGTTATAAACAAAATCCCCCCAAAAGAAGCAAAATCCTCTCAGGTAACAAGCCACTCAGGTAACAAAAGGCTGAAGTAATTAACTCCAATCCTCCCTTTAAAAAAGTTGAAATAAAAGACAATATTTTTTTAATGTACAACAAAAGACTAAGTAATTTATGGTAATTTTGCCCCCCCAAAAGAAAGAAAGACAATTGCCTTTTTTTCAAATTATCAAAATGAGTATTGAACTTTTTTTTAAATTACAGGTAAAAAGTAATTTGCATATAGTATCCTGTAATAAACTCAGGTATTTACGTATTGGCATCGAAGTTTTCATTAAATTCCCTTTAACTCTGAGGAACTGTACTGTAACACTTATACTTTAACAAGGTATTGACACAGGTATAAGGTATATTTATGTACTTTTCTACCCATTAATTGGTTTGGTAACTTACCTTTCTCGTTCAGCACAGTTTAAGATTAATGATAATGATGTTAAGGATAACTTATAACCTTTCTTGGGATGTTAAGTCTTTCTTGTGTGAGGTTTATTGTGTCCCATTGGCTGTAGTCAGTCATAAAAATGTTTCAAGTCTCGAGGGAAAATAGTTCTCCTTATTTTGAGAAGTTAAGTCTCATTAACTTCAATAACTTCAATAAACTTAACTTTCCCGATAGATTATGTCCTTCTTGCGAGAGAAATACGTCTCGCTGGCCTCGGTAACTTGCGAATCTTCATGGCACAAAACGAATTTCCGCTGACACCAAACTTGGAGAAAAATGTCATTAATTACGAAACTAGTAAAAGAAAACTCGTTAATCAGGTTTCGTCGAGGGATTAAAACGTGCTATATCTTATCCTCTCTCTTGAGTCGATAAGTGGAGGATTTCGGCAGGCGTGTGTGTGTGTGTTTGTATGTCTATGAGCCAGTGTGTGCGAGTGGGGGTGGAGATCACCGTCGGCAGAGCGGTACGAGTGCACGTCCTACTGCTACCGAGTTCACGGCGATACTGAGAGCTCAAGTCGGTCTGCTGCTGCCACTACACCAACTCTCTCTCTCTCTCTCTCTTTCTCTTTCTCTTTCTCTCTCTCGGATGGTCTCAGGTGCTCAAGGGAGGGAGGGAGGGAAGGGGTGGCTTATCGAGAGAGCAAGAGGGACAGGGGTGAGAGGGGAAGACAAGGAGAAATGAGAGGGGAGAGAACAGACTCGTTGATTGTGTTTCCAGGTGTAATCAGACATGTCTGTGTGTGTAGGTAACTGACTCCCGCCTTGGGTTGACCGTCTATACTCAGGTGCAAACACAGCCTCACTCACAACACAGCTCTCATAAACAACATCCTCACTGACTCATCACAAACACAACCCCACCACCCACTTACAACACAACCCCAGAACCCACTTACAACACAACCCCACCACCCACTTACAACACAACCCCACCACCCACTTACAACACAACCCCACCACCCACTTACAACACAACCCCAGAACCCACTTACAACACAACCCCAGAACCCACTTACAACACAACCCCACCACCCACTCACAACACAACCCCAGAACCCACTCTACAACACAACCCCAGAACCCACTTACAAACACAACCCCAGAACCCACTTACAAACACAACCCCACCACCCACTTACAACACAACCCCACCACCCACCTCACAACACAACCCCAGAACCCACTTACAACACAACCCCAGAACCCTTACAAACACAACCCCAGAACCCACTTACAAACACAACCCCACCACCCCTTACACACACAACCCCACCACCCACTTATAACACAACCCCACCACCCACTCACAACACAACCCCACCACCCACTCACAAACACAACCCCAGAACCCACTTACAACACAACCCCAGAACCCACTTACAAACACAACCCCAGAACCCACTTACAAACACAACCCCACCACCCACTTCACAACACAACCCCACCACCCACTCACAACACAACCCCAGAACCCACTCATAACACAACCCCACCACCCACTCTCACAACACAGCCCCACCACCCACTCACAACACAACCCCACCACCCACTCAACACACAACCCCACCCACTCACAACACAACCCCACCACCCACTCACAACACAACACCACCACCCACTCTCACAACCCCACCACCCACTCACAACACAACCCCAGAACCCACTTACAACACAACCCAGAACCCACCACAACACAACCCCACCACCCACCACACACCCACCACAACACAACTCACCAACTTCTGTACCACAAGACACAAACACTTAGCTTGTCCACTTCAGAGAGAAATAAACAAAAATATAAAACAAAATAACAGGAATTTCATACCCTGGAAAAAAGTTTACCAATAACGTCTAGACTGACAGTGAATCCATCTATTTTTTATCAATTTTTTTCCTCTATCTACAGGGTGTCTCAGGAATTGTATACAGGGTGTCTCAAGAATTGTATGTAGGGTGTCTCAGAATGTGTATAGTGTCTCAGAAAATGATATACCTTTTCTGAGACACCCTGAATGCATTTTTCTGAGACATCCTGTATACATTTTCTGAGACACCCTGTATGTTGTTTCCGTTAGGTTAAAAATTAAACTTATCAACACATTGTACAGGTATGCTAAACATTACCTGCCAAACATTACACATTAACCATTTTCTCCTCAAACATCACAACATTGCCAACATCACAGCATAACACAGCCAAAACGTTACACATAGTAGTAAATTGTGTCTAATGAGGCTGTTAACGAATACAAAATGTAGTTGGGACTAGTTACGACACACGAGGCGACAATACGAGTTTATTCCCAGTTTACGCTTGTTGTTTTTAAAAGTTATTGCTTCACTGTGAATTTTAATTACGAAATACTGGAACACAAAAGACTTGCCCTCCTCCAAGATAATATTTATAATAATAATAATAATAATAATAATAATAATAATAATAATAATAATGTACTAAAAATACAGAAATAATTATAATCACTTTGGTATATATATATGGTATAATGTGTATGTATGTATGTATGTATGTATGTATGTATGTATGTATGTATGTACTGTATGTATGTATGTATGTATGCGAGTTGATTAATCTACCATTAACTGTCGACTAGACCTAAAATAGACTGACAGAGGAGGACGGAGTGAGTCACATTACATAACTTGGGAACCTGCCAATTTATCTATCTATCTATCTATCTATCTATCTATCTATCTATCCATCTATCTACTTTAATATGTCTCATGTGCTCAAGTTAAATTTTTGTTTATATCATTTAATCTATACTTTTAAACACGCGACATTGATCCATAATTTTTAAAAACTTGACAATATTGTTTAAAAAGAAATAATTTAGGCTTTAGATCGATCAAGATAAAACTGTGTTGAAAAAATAATTATATTACAGACAGACAAACAGAACCGGGGGGTGTAAATATAGCAATGGCTTTTATACATGTTATTGTTGGAGTCAAAGGTAAAAGTTATATAGGAGGAGGAGAGATATTGTGTCTCTATCTCTGTAATGGATAGCTCTATATACAGTACAGTGTGTGTGTGTGTAGATGGATGGATGTATGGATGTGTGTATGTATGTATATTATTATTATTATTATTATTATTATTATTATTATTATTATTATTATTATTATTATTATTATTATTTATTTATTTATTTTTATTTTTATTTTTATTTTTTGTAGTAGTATAGAAGCAGTAACGGTAACAGAAAGTAGTAGTAGTAGACGTAGCAGAAGTAGTAGCAGAAAGTTACAGTAGTAGTAGTAGTAGTAGTAGTAATAGTAGTATTATGTCACGAATACCACCAACTATTTCAAGTATGACCGCGTGTTGTCAGGGTGAGTGTGTGGTGAAGGACCTTTAGTGGTGTAGACGAGGCTCGGGGTCAGCTTCTCTGTGAGTGAGTCTCCGTAAGCAATGGTCTCTCCTCTTTGACTTAAGTGAGGGAATTCGGGTCAAGTGTGTGAGAAATCGAGACGTGTGTGAGTGTGAGGAACTTGTGAGTGTGTTGGAGTGAGTGTTTTAGAATGTGTGTGTGTGTTAGAATGTGTGTGTGTGTGTGTTATAATGTGTATGTGTGTGTGTGTGTGTGTGTTTAGATTGTCTGTGTTAGAATATCTATGTGTGTGTGTGTGTGTGTGTGTGTGTGTGTGTGAACTGGTGTGTGGGAAGGGGAGTTACACAATAAAAATTACAAAATACATATAATTCACAGGTAAAAAAAAAAACAGCAGCATCCAATTGGTAGAGAACAGAAACAGTATTTATAGCACATTGATGAAACAAAAACAGGAATTTTTACAGAAGAATACGGAACTTATTGTTTTTTAGTTAATTAATGCAAAACAGGTGTTCAGGCTCAGGTAATGAAAATAATCATCAAGGAAGAGAAAACAAATATATATATAATTTTTTTCTTTTGTTTATCTTTGTTTTTATGTTCAAAGTTGTGTTTTTTCTGTTTTCTGTTTGTTTTCTGTTGTTTTCTGTTTATTTTCTGTTGTTTTGTATTGTTTTCTGTTGTTTTCTGTTTGTTTTTTGTTGTTTTGTCTCTTTTTTATGTTTTCTGTTTGTTTTCTGTTTGTTTTCTGTTTTTCTGTTCATATCGTTTTTTGTTTGTTTTTCTATTCATAGTTGTGTTTTTCTGTTGTTTTCTGTTCATAGTGTGTTTCTATTGTTTTCTGTTTTTCTGTTCATAGTCGTTTTTTCTGTTGTTTTTCTGTTCATAGTTGTGTTTCCTGTTGTTTTTCTGTTGTTTTTCTGTTCATAGTTGTGTTTTTCTGTTGTTTTCTGTTGTATTTATCATGTTAGTAAAACCAACAGGAGGTATACAACATGCCTCTCATAACGACCTGTCAGGTGCCCCGGTGGTTCTTTATCAATACTAAACTTGTTGGAGAAATCACCCAAATTTGTTTATCTACTTGGTGGCTGTGTATGGGGGAGGAAGGAGAAAGGGGAGGAGGAGGAGGAGGAGGAGGGAGGAGGAGGAGGAAGATATGTGTTCGTATTAGAGTGAAATTTCTCGATCATTTGTTAGGAGAAGGAGGAGGAGGAGGAGGGGCAAAGAGGAAGAAGAAAGAAAGAAGAGGAAGAAAGAAAGAAGAAGAAAGAAAGAAGAAGGAGAGGAAGATAGGTAGAGGAAGAGGAGGAGGAAGAGAAAGAAGAGATATAGTTTTGGATTGGAATAAAATGGTTCGGTTATCAATAAATATATTCTGTCTCGTATTGTTGGGAAATACAGACATAGGAGCGGGAGGTGTGGCGCTTTAAAACAGAAATATGACAAGGTTTAGGTCACAGAGAGAGCATTTAAAAACATACTATACAATACTTTTAAGACATCACCTACGAGTTATTAATCATTCTTGATATTCCGCGGATCATCACTCAACACTATGCAAAATTCTGGACACGGAGTCATTATTAATGTTGATTTATGGTGCTGAAGTCTCTCCCCCTGAATGAATGGATGTTATGAGTGCAGGAAATTACCAGCTGGTGTGTGTGTGTGTGTGTGTGAGACGTTGGACTCACATTAACTGAAGTTTCTAATACATGTCAAAGGCACCAAGAGACGCTGGGAGCTAATGGGTGAGAGAGAGAGAGAGAGAGAGTGAGGTTAATCTGTAGGAAGTCTATTTTCTTATCAAAATATAAGTTAAAAAATACCAAATGTTATCATATATTTAGCCATACAAACTAAATTTATATCCTCCCACAAAAATCTATCAGAAGAAATGAAAATTGTAAATATTTTTTTGTTGAGGAAGGATGTTGAACTTTGAGTTCAATACAAATTATAAATACAAATTATATGTTTTATCATGACTGGTGCTGACATCCGGGAAATATGTACATTTTATTTACCTGAACAGAATAGCAACACACACGCTTCACTGTGTTTTGCCGAAGAAGAATTTTGGGTTACCGAGAACAAAATATCTCAGAATGTCAACAAAATATATC